GGCAGCCTAGCAGGGCAGCCCCGCGCGCGAGCGGCGTCGCATCTGCCCGCGCGCCGCCGCGGGGCCCGCAGGCACCCCCCCTCCCGAACCCACGTGCTGCAAACTCATCATCTGCACTCCTCAACACGGTTGCTGTCTTGTGCCCGCCCTCCAGCTCTCCATCCCCACGCCTCACCCCTTTCCCCCCTCCAACGTCCCTCACCCACACCCGCCCCTCAGCACCATCTCGTTTCTGCCGGCGCTGTTTGGCCTCTGGGTGTCTCAGCATGTCATAAGGGAAGCCCTGGAGGAGCCAGGCTACCGCGTCACCCACCAGCCACCCAGCAAGAACGCGCAGAAGCGCCAGCTGGCGCAGAAGCGCGCGCAGGAGGAGGCGCAGCAGGCGCCTGCTGGCGGCGGCAAAAAGCGCCGGAAGGCTGGCCCGGTGCTATTTGCGAGCATCCGGCGGGGCGCGACGGGCGTGGGCGTGGGTTTCGACGGCGACTGCATCTGATCTGGGGAGGGCGCCGGGCAGACGCGGCCGGAGCGACTGTTATGCCGTGCGTGCGTCGACGCGTTGTCCGCCTTGTATTTCGATCGTGGTGTCGCCGCTTCTTCTCGGTTTGTTATGCGACCGCTCGTTGCCCCCTGGCGACCACGGGCCAGCCGCCTGGTGGGCACGCCAACAAACTGTTTCCCGTATCTGGCCGCTGCTCCTGCTGCCGCACATTGCGGGCCTCACGTCCTGTGATTAGCTCGAAGCCCCACCCCGCGCCGCGCCCGGCGCTCGTGTAACTGTTGTGTTGTCATGCACAGGCCCTCGCTCAGCTGCTCGGTTGTAGAAAACATCATGAGCCAGACACTGACGTGGCACTCATGAGCGAGGTGATGCTGAGTATGGGGCTCGGTTACAGTCGGCCGGGCGGCGCGCAACTTTTAATTCTGTGTGTTAGGGTCATCGTCTGTGTTGGGCAGAGCTCATGCCCGACGGCAACACAATTTGTGTGTGCGACACTGCTTGCGACCGCCCTCACCTGTGCGCGCCCGACAAATCGACGAGGGAATGTGCTAACGGCCAGCAAGGGCCTCGAGCCAGGGATTGCATTCTTCGTCCACAAACAATTGCTTTGCCGCTGGACAGGCGGTACGACAACCAGGCACAAACCCTGGCCACGCGCTGTGGGCGCCTGCGCCGGCACCAGACCGAAAACACCACAACAGCCCAGGACCCCCTGGCCCCAGACCAGCAATGGTTCTGGCCCGGCCTCGCGTTCAGATGCATGCCAGATCGTGCCGGATCTCGTGACATCAGATCAGATCAGATCACGCCTTGCCGGCCTCTGCGATGCACTCCAGGGCCAGCTCCCGCTCCTCAGACAGCTCCTCAGCCGTGATCCGCAGCTTCTCGGCGCTCTTGGCGTCGATCTCCAGCCCCTGGACGATCTTCCACCTGTGATCATAGACGAGTCCGAGGTTGCCATCGCTTCGTGAGGACAGGCAGGCTGGCAGCCGCATGTGCACCTTGTTGCACACCCCTCAGCCTGCGCCGCCTCCTCTCCTCCGTTGAAGCAACAGGCCGGCACGAGGGTGTGGCGCGTGCGTGCGCGCGGCGCCTCAATGGGACGTTGAACCCTGAGCCTCCACCCTCAGCCCTGGACCCTGGGCGGCCATCCCGGCTCACTTGCCGCCGGCCTCTGTCGTGACGGGGTAGCTGTACACCAGCCCCGCGGGCTGGCCGTAGCTGCCGTCAGAGTAGACGCCCATGCTGACCCAGGTGCCCGGGGCGGTGCCCAGCAGCCAGTCGCGCACGTGGTCGCAGGCGCTGCTGGCGGCAGACATAGCACTCGACAGGCCGCGCGCCTAGGGGGCAGGGGGAGGGGAGGGGAGGGGTGAGATAAGCGAGGGGAGCGTGTGGGGGAGTGGGGGCCGGAGGAAGGCCTGATGCGCGGCAGGACGCCGGCGTTCAGGGGAAAGGGAGGTGTGTGGAGACTGCCGGCGCCGCGCAGCGCTGTAAGCTGTCGCCGCCTCCGAAGGGATTTGGCTGCTGCCAAGGCCTCTCACGCGCACGCTGTTGTTGTTGCTGCTGCTGCTGCTGCTGCTGCTGCTGCTGCTGCTGCTGCAGCCGCCGGCGTCGCGCTCCGGGCCCCGACGCCGCCCCTCCATGCGCAGCTGCAGCAGCACAAAACCCCAAACACCCCGCACCTTGATAATGGCCGCGCCGCGCTGCTGCACTGTGGTGACAAACTCCCCTTCCAGCCACTCCGCGCTGTCCGCAAGCGCCTCCTTGATCGGCCTGCCCTCCACCGTGCCGTGGCTGACGTCTGGGTACTGCGTGCTGCTGTGGTTGCCCCAGATGATGACGTTCTTCACGGCGGTCACGTGGACGCCCAGCCGCTCCGCGACCTGGGGCGGGGTTTTGTTGAGAGGAGAGGAGCGTATTTGTGTGTGTGTGGGGGGGCGGTGGCGTGGTTGTGTGTTTGGCGCGTCGTGTGTTTGGGCGAGTGGACGCGGCAAGTGTGTGGGAGGGCGGGGGTGCCAACTCAAAAGAGCACACCTGCGCGCTGTGGCATGTGAGACATGCACGAGCGCTTACACTCACACGCGCTTCCACACACACATGTACACAGATATATACGCACACAGGCACACACACTATCACACACATGCATTGCAACACACACACGCACACTCACATATATTCAAGCACACACAAACACACACACACCCACACACGCGCGCGAGCCCCCCCACCTGTGCGAGGGCCCTGTTGTGGTCTAGGCGCGTCATGGCGG